CAGTGGTTTCTCGCTGGGCTGCTCTCTGGCCTGCTTGGTTCTGAGGGAGAAAGACGGGTCTTTCTCCTCCCGTAAACAGTGACGGTCTCGGGCACCTACCGGGGTCAGTACCAGGCAGCATGGGCTCATGGCAGCGAGAGTTATAGGGTTGGGATGGGTGAGCCTTAATTGGACGGCGATGGGCTTACACTAAGTCCAGGCGTACTTCGGATATGCAGGCTCAGTTCCAGACTACTTCAACAAAGCAAATATTGTGACAAAGCAAGCAACATGAATGGTTTGCAGTCTCCATTTTGAACGATCAGGAGAATTAACAAAATGTGACACCGAAACGATGTGAAGACAGGCTTTTGGCAAAACAGAGGCGCTCGATGTAAGGTTGCCGCACACTTTCAGTTTGTGAAAAGTACAATAGCTACAAAGAGTGATGACGATTTCAGTCATGAAATGGGATCTTCTTGGGGAGGGTTGAGCTTTGGAGGGTCACAAGTCATTGGGCAAAGCTAAGGGTGGATTTGTCTTTTGCTTGTCAGAACTAGTTTTTGCTGCCCTCATTGAGTTGCGAATATAAGCAGTAGATCCTATGGGAGTTAAACAAGGCCAGATGATATGCTGATGGGAACACAACTTTGCAGCTTGGCACCTGGGTTTTCATTTCATCTCGAACCCTCTGAAAACCAGAGACTGTCTGTGAAATGCTGCGGTTAGATTCTGTCCCTCAGTGAAAGGCTGGTTCTGCAATGGGTCCCGTTTCCTGGGAGTTGCAATGTGACATGGGCATCAGAGGGTAGACGGCAGTCAGGGCCGAGGCTCCTAAAAGGCAATATTCTTGAGGAAACCCAGTGGTTTGCTTATTTCCTTTAGCCAGATTCCCCCCCAAGCATGAACATCTTGTTCTCTGCAGCAGCGGAGGGATAAAGTCAATGGCAGCTGCTGGAGAGAAGGAAGTTATTAAAAAATACAAGGCCCGTGTTTTCCAAGTGGTTCTAGTGACACTCCTGCAGCTTCGAACACTAGGTATCAAGTGGGCACCAGCCGCCACCGACAAAACCATACTGCCATGGCAATCTGTCCCACTCAGGCACCTTCAATCTCAGAGGGGTTCTGTGCTGGGGGAGTTTCCATTTCCCCCATGGCACCACCGCAACCATCGGCTCAAGTCTACCAACAACTGTGAGGAGGGCACCAGACTGGGCGATGCTTCTGTTTAAAAGACTAAAGTCACCATGAGTTGGAGCTGGCTTGGTGGCAACTAATGGCCATAGCACCACTAGCCTGGGTTATAGCACCCTCTTCGTGGCCTGGCCCCTACTTACTTCACAGGCTTCCCCAAACACTTCTACACATTGCTATTGCATGTTTAATTCTCTGGCCCACTGCCCAGCTATCAACGGTGAGGGCAAGGACAGGGCCATCTTGGTCACCCTTTGGTCATTGAAAGTGACAAACACGGAAATGGTTTCCAGGAATAAAGGTCTCTCGCTTTTTCAGCTCACATTTCTCCCCTTCGCTCTTTGACTCTCAGTCTCTTTGACTCCAGCTCGGTCACCTCTCCCAGGAAGACTTCCAGGGGCTACAGGACACCGGTTTGGTACAATAATTACTACTGTATGCTGCCCCCTAGATGGGGAGACCTTAAATACCAAACCCCAAACCAAACTCACTGAGGAGTCGACTCTCACTCAGGGAGCCAATAGAACAGAGGAGAATTGTTCTCCAGGGTTTCCAAAAGACTAAATTTTTTAAAAAAGATCATTTTATTGGGGGCCCTTACAACTCTTACAATAATTCATATATCAATTGAATCAAGCATATTTGTGCATATGTTGGCATCATTATTTTCTAAACATGTACTTTTTATTTGAGCCTTTGGTATCAGTTCCTTTTTTTACCCTCCTTCTGCCCCTCAATCCTTGTGACCCCTTGGTAAATTATAAATTATTTTCATATCTTTATACCAACTGCTGTCTCCCTTCCCCTGAAGTTTCTTCTGCCCCCACCTTCCCTCTACACTCCTGGTATCACTACTTCCATTTCTGTTCCTAAGGGGTTTATCTGACCTGGACTTCATGTATCATGAATTCTTATCAGTACCTGTATACATGATCTGGCCTAGCCCGCAGTGAAAGGCAGGACTG